GAATCGAAATTATTCGAACAGAAGTCGTGGTAGACCTTTTGTAAACATATCAGCAAACTGGTACCAAGATGGTACATGGAGAACCCGAACTTGGCCGCCGACCACCTTCTCTCGAACAAGATGAATATCTAGCACTACGTGCTTGGTGCGTTGGTGTTGGAGCGGATTACCGGAAGGGTACACTGCGCTCACGTTGTCATAATAAACGGGTGTAGCCTTGTTAATCGAACAATGAAGTTCGAGTAGAAGATTCCTTAACCGGCATGTTTCGGAGACCACATTTGCAACCGCCCGATATCCGTCCTCTGCACTAGATCTTGAGATGGTGTGTTGTCTCTTTGAGGACCAAGAGATGAGGGAATTACCCAAGAACACGCAATACCCTGAAGTTGATCGGCGAGTATCCGAACACCCGCCCCAATCTATATCGGTGTAGGCTATAAGGCCCGTAGGAGCAGAGGCTGTCAAATGTAACCCGGGATCCAACATGCCACGAGTATAGTATAACGTAAAATCTGACGTAGAGCTCGAGAATGTGATTCTCATGGATCATGCATATACATACAGACTTGTTGCATCATAAGAGATGTCGGGGGGGGGGGGGGGTTGAGTGTCAAATATTGAAGAGCGCCAGCCAGACTTGGGTACAAAATATGATCAACAATGGGCGGTCTTGATGACGCACTAAACTTTACATTTGTGTCCACGGGAGTGTAACATGGGTTGCAGGATGACATGTTGGCACGCTCCAAGATTTCGGTAGCATATTTCGTTTGATAAAGAAATAACCCCTGTTTATCATGAGCATACGAAATTCCCATAAATTATAAAGTCGACCAATATCTTTCGTAGCAAACTCGAAACAAAGCTTTGAAACGATTGATTGACAAAGATTATCAGAAGGGGCAGTTAGAATAATGTCATCGACGTATAATAATAAGTAAGCTACATCATTTCCTCGCCGATAAATAAACAATGAATTATCCGACCGACTGTGAGAAAAGCCAATTGTCGAGACAAAATGAGGCAAACCGAGTGTACCACGTGCGGGGAGCCTGTTTCAAACCATGTAGGGACTTCTTTAAACGACAGACAAGGTCGGGAAACCGAGCATCATTGAACCCGTGAAGTTGATGCATAAAAACTGTTCGCGAAGAGTCGTGAAGAGATGATCGTGAAAAAAGGGGATGAAGTGGAGTGTTTAAGAAGTCATAGTTTTCAGATTGGGTGGAGGGTTTTGAGAAAGGGAAGGCGTTTTTATCGAAGGTAACATGTCGGGAAATAATGAACCTGTTGGAAGACATATCAAAACATTGATACCGACGATGATTTTGGGAAAACCCGTAAAGACACAAGGTGTAGATCTTGGTTCGAGTTTGTGAACTGTGGATGCGGGATTATGCGGATAAGACAAACATCAAAAAACACGGAGATGAGAGTACATAGGAGTTTTATAATACAAACAAGTAGTCGGTGAGTTGTATTTTAGTGTTTTGTTTGCAAAGATAGGTAGCACTTTAGAGTACGTATGGCTATAAAGAAGATGGAGTGTGAGAATGAAGGAGTAACTAACTTAAACTTCAAGATTACAAGTAAATTGTGCGTAAGTATAATTTATTAAAGCTCTATGTTTGAATTCGTGTAACTAACTCCAGATAAACATAATTAAATAGAAAATAAATATCTCATTTTAAATATAAAACATCTAAAATATAATTAGTTTTTTTTTAAGTATATAATATTTATATACGGCAAATAGAACAAATAAAAGCACACACCTTCCAAAAAGGCCAATGACTCACATACCGCTAGGCCAAATGCCTTTTGGTAAAAATATAATTAGGTTGATCATTGAGTTCTAACAAAATACTTAGTTATTATCTTTATAAAAAAATATATTATTAAACCAAAAATTAAAAAAAAAGAATTACAGAAATTACATATAAAAAGAGAAATTTTAAATAGTTAGTTTGGTATTAATTTCAATATATATATTTTTAATTTTTTATGATATTTTTATATTTATATTTTATTCAAAAATAAAAACATTATTGTTTGTTCTCAAAACAACATAAAATTGTATTATAACATCGACTGAGACAAAAAAAAAAAAAGAACATCAAAATTGAGATGTATCTCGTTACATTGCGTGAGTACCTTTCTAGTATTATTAAACCTAAAATAAATTAATTTGTTATTAAACCTAAACTAAATTATAATAAGAAGATTGAACTAAAAATTATCTTTATAAATAACGTTATATTATTATACCTAAAATAAATTACTTCGTCCTTAACTTAAATTATACTAAAAATTGAACTTAAAGATGTACAAAAAACAATAAGTTTTAAAAATTTGATTTGATACTTATATCAATAAAAAAAAAACTTATGGGTCTTAAAATTTATATTTTATTCAAATATAAAAACATTATCATTTTTTTCAAAACCATATTATAGAATGAAACATTAAAATTGAGATGTATCCCGTTTTAATATATATATATATATATATATATATATATATTAAAGTTTTTAAATGATTAACCCGATATACAGACAACTAGGGGTGCTTAAAAACCCGACCAATCATACTCAACCCAACGCGAAATAACTCAAACCAAAGCAACACGCTGTCTAATCGAGTTACAAAATTTTCGAAACCGTAGGTATTAAGTTACTATTATTTGAACCTGATGAACCCGATATCCTTTTATTTTCTTGTATTTAATATGATTGTTGAGTTTTTATTAATATATACATTATATAATTACACTATCACGTACGCTTTTCATTCAATCTATTCTCCATCTCTATATAATTCATTCGTATATATGTTTAGTAACTGTGAACATATATATGTAAATCGAGAAAAATAATTAAATGTGATATACGTAGAAAAAATATGAATAAGTTGTACCAAATGATTGATGATGAAAAAGAAATTATAAGTAAAGAAATAACATATTGAAGATTAAAAAAATATTTTAACGTATCAAAGATTCAACCCTATCAACACGTACGGGTTAGGTTGGGTTGTAATTTGATTTGTGTTGGATTGAGTTTAGATTTTTCAAACCGCAAACATCAAAATGGATTTCTTAGGGGTGTTTGGGATTGCTTATTTGAAACGACTTATGTTTTTCTACAAAAAACACTTATCAACTTATTATAAGTCAGGTTTAACTTCTTCAAAAACCTCTTATTACCGATTTGGCACCGTTATAAGTTGTTTATCCAAACATTTAAAAATACTTATTACAGGTATCACATCAGAATAAGTCAATAAATTATTTTTATAAACAATCCTAAACACCTCATAAAATATCTTCAACCCGATCAATCTAACCACCAACTTCACGAATGCAAACAAAACTTTCCAAATATAAATATTAAATTAGTTTATAAAAAGCACAGCTTTTTGTTATCAGTGGACAGTGGGTATGAACCCCCTTTTGGGGTTTTCCTATCTACATTTTCTACACCCCACCTATATAATACAATAAAATAATTAAAATTTATTTATTTTATTTTT